CAGGGAGCCCGATGCGGGGCTCGATCCCAGGACCCTGGGATCATGACCTGAGCCAAAGGCAGACGCTTAACGACTGAGCCACCCAGGCGCCCCCAGTTTTAACTTTTCTTTTTTTTTCTTTTTTAAGATTTTATTTATTTATTTGACAGAGAGAGATACAGCGAGAGAGGGAACACAAGCAGGGGTAGTGGGAGAGGGAGACGCAGGCTTCCAGCAGAGGAGGGAGCCCGATGCGGGGCTAGATCCCAGAACCCTGGGATCATGACCTGAGCCGAAGGCAGACGCTTAACAACTGAGCCACCCAGGCGCCCCCAGTTTTAACTTTTCTAACACAGTCTAGTTTTGTGACAGTTTGCTAGCGCAGAGTAAATATGGATATGCAAATTATTGAAATTGCTTGGAAACTCTTTAGAACTTTTAAATAATCATCCTTTTTTTTGTAACCTTGTCAACATTTACTGATGCACAGAAGATGATTTTGTGTTAATTCACTTTTTAGAACCAAAATTTTAGTTTGTGTACGTATTAATTTTTATAATTGCCTAGCCTAATGTGGGGAAATATAAGCTGCTTATCACTGCGAACTAATGTGCTTACTAATTACTTTAATGATTAGTATTTTAAATTGCATGTTTAGGTTTTAATCTGAAAAGTTATATTTAGTTTTGTTTCCGAACACAGTCGCTTTTTGTTTCTTATTGCTTTGCCGCAGTTTTAGAATATAGTTGCTTTCTTCTTTCGATTCAGTAGTTTAAGAAGGTACCTGTGTGGCATTAGTGACTGGCCCACCAGACAGGTGTATTAAGCCTCGGTTACTCAATATTCTGAAGAAAATGTATGTTATTTGCCACCTACTAAATTATACATCATGTATGAAATGAAAGTAATTGACATAATAAGAGTATTTTGAAATCAGAAAACATCTTTTCTCCAAGTAGTTATAAGAGGTCTATTTGGGACTATGTTTCGGTGCCTGTCCTTTCATTCCCGCCCCCCAAACCCATCAGTGTTTGCGTTGTCTAAAGAGCTGAGAGATAGTTAACCTGTGGTCTTTTTAAAACTTTATCCAAATGGAAGAGTATTGGCTTTTTACAAATTACATCCCAAGATTTGCCGTAGATGTTGATTTAATCATTGAAGATTTGCCATAGATGTTGATTTAATCATTGAAGATTTGCCATAGATGTTGATTTAATCATTGAAACTTCTTACTTCACGCATTCATTTGCTGTCCTACAAGCCATTCTGTTGTGTTCATATGTAAAATACATATAAAATGAGAATAGTTTTCCTGATCTATGGAGGACAAGTAAGAGAACTCCCAAATGTCCAAGGCCGCCCAGTTGCAGTGATGGTCTCTCAGCCTCCGCGGATGCACCACTCCGCCGGGCAGCTTCCGAACCTCCCACTTACCACCGACAGAAGCTGTTCCAAGGAAAACCAAGGTCTTCTTTACTATTCATTTTCTGGTTCAGCTCTGTTCTTTTCTTCTTCTGGCAGTAATGGTAACAGCAGTAGCTGGAGCAGTCTTGGTTTAGAAGGAGAGTTGTATGAGGACAATTTATCCTTTCCAACATCAGACAGGTTGGTCCAGTCCAGAAACTTACAAACTGATGAGTCTTTCACACTAATGCATGATGTCATATTCTTAAAAGAACGTGGGTTACAGTGCCAATATGTATCAGTCTGCTTTTCTCCTATGTTTGGACATGATTCTGCTTGATAATTTACATCTAATGAGAAACTTCAATTATGCTAAGAGACGACTGACATCTAATTGCAAAATGTGTTACATCTATGCATGTGTTGCTTTGCTTGCTATTTCTCATCCTACCAATTATTATTTCATTAAAAAGAGCTTGCTTCCTACAGGATTTCTGGTTTTTGTTGTTGTGTTGTTTTTGTATGTAATTTTATTTCACATGTAAGGAAAGTGTAGGAAAAATGTATTTTTAGTGTGTTAAAAATACATCCTTGGCATTAGTAGATGCCACGGCATTCTATGATAATTCAAATGCTGTGTTATCCAAAACCAAATTAGTAGAATATTTTAGCTTGAAGTTATTTGAAATTAAATTTTATCATGAAATTACTTGGCGTTCTCCATCACGGTAAGGTAGAACTTCTTGGTTATTGATGACCTGTCTAGGCATCATTTACAATTCAGATTTTAACATGAAATGGTGTGAGAAGCAAAGCTTCCTTTTTGTATTGTCATCTCTTCCCTTTTTAAACGTCATATATCATATTGTAACATTCATTCTTTTCCACGTTTTAAGAATTAGTTTTAATACCATTGTTAATTAAAGCTTCTTTTTTTTTTAACTGCTTCTGCTCTTTTATTCGAAAAGTGATGGGCCAGATGATAAAGATGAAGATCATGAGGATGATGGAGAAGGTAATTGACAGATTGTTTTTCAAAGTGTTTGCATGTTTTTTTGTTTAAGGTTTCCTAGAAGAGTCTTCATCTTGTGCGTTTTCATCACTGAAGCTCCAGGTTATTACAAATCAGGGTATTTACATTACAAATCGGGATATTCTTGAACTCATGTATCCAGCGGCAGGTCCTTTGTTGAACCATTTGTACCATTTGATTGCTAAACTAATGAAGTGCCCATTGGTGTAAAGATTGAACTACTTTAAAAGAATTACTCAATGATTTGAGAGGGAAATTTATGATAATCTCTCTATATGTAAGGGTTTATGTAAACATAAAACCCTTACATTATAAGATATAATTTATTATAATTATGGCATGTGCCCTAGTTTTTTCCTTCCAAACTAGTAACCTCTCGAATTAGTGTTTAATGTTGATGTTACATAAATTAGTAAGTAAAAATTAAAAGACATTTTAAAATCAATCCTTCCCTCTCTCAGTTCTATTCCTAAACTCAAAAATATACATATTTGAAGAAAATATTTAATTCTTCCTTTGATGAACATAATTCCAAATATCTAAATACTAGATACCATTGGTCACCATGTTCTCGACCATGATTTATAATCCTTAATTCAAATATTAGAATGTCTGAGTGAATGTAGAAACTTTCCATGTTGAAGCTGAATTTTCATTGTACTTAGATGGCTTATTCTTTTATTATGTAAATACCAATAATGTCTTCTATAGAGTGGCACCTAAAAATATTCATACTGTTTGAGATATTTGTTTTTGAGCTAGTCTTTTTATTTTTCATTTCTTTAGAAGTGGGCAAACTGAGAAAATTGCCCAAATGAATTTCTCGAAATGTACTTTATAACACCTGAGTGTCCGATTAGTTTTATCGCCAATTATGCCTTTCTTATTTAGGGAAATCATGTACTGGTTTCTGAGTTAAAATCCTCAGACTTAAGGTGATTATTTTTTAGTCCCAGTGCTTCTGCTAACTAGACATTCTTTTTTTTTTTTTTAAGTAAACATTCTTCATATAGGACTTATAGAAGTTTTGTCATCAGATATGAAGTAGGGGTAGGGCAATATTCTTAGAGGGACAGATAGGCTAGGTAATATTTGCTTTCTTTTTGTTGACTAAAAGAGTGTTGACTTTGTCTAGGCAAGTTGTGTCCCTTTTCCCAAATAATGCCTGTGAGCAAAGTTGTTCCAAAGGCTGTACATGGTGCAAATGCATGTGGTGAGTATTTTCCTCAGTGAACTAGTCATTACTTAACTGACTTTATTACTGAGGGACAATTAAGAGAAAAGAAGATATAAGTTAATATAAATATGAAATTGATTTTAAAAAATTTACTTTTGGCACTAGCAGACTCTTTAGGATTTCTTTTGTGAGTAGATAGAAATTTACTATATGTAAATACATGTCACTGCTCAGCTTTTGAGATCATAGTCATCTCTCATTATATAGAAAATAGTGGCCAGCTTTGAAATTTGTTAAATTAGGAATTGGTAAAGTAGGACAGATTGATACGGGTTTATAGAAAGATTCAAAATTACGGAAATCCTGAGGCAACAAACCTCATTTTGTTGTATTTTTAGTTGCAGGAGGTCAGCCACTTGCCTTTTCCCTGGTGTTGAGTGACCTCTCCTTGGCCAGGCAGCCAGGAGCCCCATAACTGAGAAAGCCAATAATACAGAGAAGTCACGGGTGACTTGGCTTCCAACCCCATGACCTCTGCAGGATTTACAAAATGGCCCAGAGACCGTGTCTGGTTTCACAGTGCACCAGACCCATTTTTGATTGAGAGTGGGGGGAGAGGAGGGAAAAGGCAGTACGTTTCTCTGAAGAGAATGACGTGGATCCGTTTTTTTTTAAGTGAAAAAATTAGGGACCAACCCAAATCCTAAAAATGATTAGTAGTGGTCTAGAATGCCCTGCAACCTGTAAAAAAGAATCAGGGACATTGACCAAGAAGTTTCCGTGACGGGTACGAAGTGGCGTGATGTCTGCCAGCAGGCCGGCTGCTCACCTCTTACGTGGGAGGCCCCTTGTCTCAGCACTGCCTTTTGCTCGGCAGTCACTAAGCGGGAGTGTTAGACACATGGTATCGGTCTATTGTTTTATAGTCAACAGCGATTCGTCCTTCTTTATGTTGAGAACATAATGTTCATTAAAAAAAAGAAATGAAACTCGAGAGCAATATCTTATTTATAAAGGGTTATACCCAGAAAATTCCCTGGTCTGGCTTTTGGGATGTAAGTGGCTGCATGTGACATTTTTATCCCCCTCTTCTGCCTAAAGAATGAAGCGATTAAGAGCTTGGAGCCAGACTGTGTGTTCATATCCTGGCCCAGCCACTTCCCCGCTGTAAGACTCTGGATCTCTCTGCCTCATGTCCCTCACCTGTAAGATGGAGATGATGATAGTTCTGGCTTCACAGGATGGGTGTGAGGGTTCCGGGGGTTTGTATCTAGGAAGAGCTTAGAACAATACTTACGGTGTAATATGCCCTATACAAGTGTTTGTGGCTTCTGTTACCTCTCTTAGTTCGAGAAGCTTTCTTGAGTCCATTTAATGTATTTATTTATTTGAGATTTATATTTAGATTGTAATCATAGCTTTATAGTTTTGTTTTCTCTTTCTTTACCTGTGGATCTTATTTTGACACAAATTATGGCATCTACAGTACTTGATATTCAGTGCCTCAAAATAGAGTTTTGTATTTGTGCTCTCAGTAGATGATCATAGTTATTCCTTTGTTATAGAATTATTGTGCCCTTTCCAATAAATGTTTTGGTTGATGTTAAGGTGGGGATAAGAAAAGACAGATTTTTTTTTCCCCAGCGTTCATTGGAATGTTAAGAAATGGAAAATATTTCTCTATCCTTGGAAACCAGAGTATTGAGAGTTGAATTGATGACTTTCACTTTATACTGTTTAAATGTAAATATTAGGTTTGGGGCAAGACAGAAAGATTCTGCTCATTACAAATATCGACATGGAGCCATGCACAGTAGACCCCCAGCTAAGGATTATTCTTCAGTGGCTCGTTGCTTCTGAGGCCGAAGTGGCAGAACTTTATCTTCATGACTCTGCAAAGAAGGAATTCATACAAGTAAGTACCTGCCTTACAGGGTGGTCGTAAGGACATATTTAACCATATACGATGTTCTGTGTCACATAGTTGATCTAGTAAGATGCCCCTTGATAGCAGAGTGGGTAAGTGCTTACCTGGTAGTCTCATAGTGGGTCCACATGTCAGCTCTGCCACTCTAGTCTAACTGTGGGTAGGCTCACTGGTCAGTTTCCTTATCTGCACTATGAAAATGAGTAGACAGGTTACCTTACAGAGGTTTGTGAGGATTAAACATAATACCATAAAAAATACGCTTGATCTAGTGCCTGACACATCCTAAGTACTCAAAGTTAGATGCCGTTAATAAACATGTGTTCATATGAAAAGATTGAGTTATTCTTTGTTTTAAACTGATTCATAATTATGCCTGGTAATTAGTATATCTCCTACTACTCTGTTAATCCGGTCTTATTAGTGGGAGAAACTAGCATACTCAAAAGCCAGTGAAGGTTTAAATATCTTATAAGGGACCATGGACCACTTTGAGTATTTTGTAGGGTTCTAATAATAGAACATTCAGATTCGATGCACTAATAGGATGTTTTTATTGAGAACTGTGTGCCAAGCACCTTGTTAGTCAAGATTTTTATTTTATAGTCTTAAGGTTTTTGCCCCAGAATCTTCATTATCAGAATTTTGATTTAATCTTATTATAGGGTATAAAATAGTTCAATGAATAACCAGTGTAAATTGATCTATAACAAAAGAACAGTCCAGTTGCTCTTGATTCCTGGTTCAGAATTTACAAAGATATGGTTGAAAGAAGTATGTGAAAAAGATATTCAGTAAAAATAACTTTTTTTCGTATTTTGTTGTTTTTTCTTGGACTTTTTGGATTTTTCTAGTTTATGTTTCGGTTTCTGGGCAGAAGGAGAAAATAAGACAAGGTGATCCTCAAGAAATGAGTTGTCCAGGAGAAGGAGTGGGTAGGAAAGGTGTTAGAACTCACTGGAGGGAGGCAGACATTTTCAAGTCATTTAGTCTTGAATAAACTGTGAGGGCTAAGGAAAAGCTTAGGCAGAGCTGGCATGAGCATAATGGTGCTTGGTGCTCATCCCCAAGTAACGTAGGAAAACATTCTGGAAATTCCTCAAAAAGTTAAACCTAGCATTATCATATAACCTAGCAATTCCACTCCTAGGTATATACCTAAGAGGAATGAAAATATATGTCCATGGCAACATTATTCATAATAGGCCAGAAGTGGAAACATCCTAGAATGGATGAATAAAATGTGGTTTATCTTTGCAGTGGAGTACTCTCTGTCAATAAAAAGGAAGGAAGTATATACATGCTACACCATGGAGGAAACTTGAAGTCACGTTGGGTGAAAGAAACGTCACCAGAGACCATATGTTTTATGATTACATTTATATGAAATGACCAAAATGGGCAAATCTCAAGACTGAAGTAGATTAGTGATTGCCTAGAGTTGAGGGGCTTGGGAGAAATGGGGAGTGTTTACTAATGCGTAGAGCTTTTCTTTTGGTGTGGTAGACATGTTCTAACACTGATTGTGGTGATGGTTGCATTCAACTCGGTGACTATACTAAAAACCATTGACTTAAGTACTCTATTTATTTATTTATTTTTTTCCCTTTAGAGCAAAAATCGCATTTATTTATTTTTTTTCTTTTTTAATTTTATTATGTTATGTTAGTCACCATACATCATTGGTTTTTGATGTGGTGATCCCCGATCCATTGTTTTCGTATAACACCAGTGCTCCATGCAGTACGTGCTCCCCTTAATACCCATCACTGGGCTAACCAATCCCCCCTCCCCCCTCCCCTCTAAAACCCTGTTTGTTTCTCAGAGTCCATAGTCTCTCATGGTTCAT